GGGAAGGGAGGGCAGAGTCTACGGGAAGCTGCCTTCTGCCCCTGACTGTCCAAGGGGTGGCAATGCCAGGTCCTCAAGGGCCCAGAGCTGTCGGGCTCCAGGTCTCCCGGCCAGGGCTGTGCTGGGGAGGGGAGTGGCAGGCTTCGAGCGAATGGGACGGAGGGCAGAGAGCATGTCCCACTTGGGCGGGACCCAAGCAGAGAGGGACCTGGAGCTCCCCACTGCGCAGGCTGCCTGGGACGGCCTCACCGCTTCCCAGCGTGGGACTGGAGGGGTCAGGGCACCGGGAAGCACAGCCAGAGGGCTGCGTCTGTGGAGGATACACAGGAGCCTCGCTCCGAGGCTGGGGACGCAGTAAACAGCTGCTGAGAGGACTCCCGGGTGCCCTGCCCCTCAGCCAGAACCAGCCCAGCACCAGCACATGCTGCTCTTGCTAAGTCGGCCTCCGTGGGCTTGGTCCTCAGTCCCCTTCTTGTCTCCTTGGGGCCTCAGTATCCCTCTGTGTGCCCCTGCCAGTGGGAGGGGCAGTGTGAGCCACAGCAGGAAAGCCAGTCCTCACAGCCTGCCCAGTAGCTGAGCAGTCACTGCATGGAAGGCCTTCCTGGGAGCCCGGAATTGAGGGACGGGGGTGGCTGTGGGCCTGGCTGCCTACAGGCTCGCTAACCAGCTGGCCGCTGCAGGAAGGGGTATCACTGCCCAGGTGTGGGCAGCCCAGGACGGCAAGGCCAGGACCCATGGCAGCCGGCGCCTGGGCCTGGGCTGGGCTCCGGAACCCGCTCCCTCTGCCGGGTCTGTCCATCCTGCAGACTGACAGTTGCCCCGAGGCCGCAGCTCCGTTGGGCTTTCTGGAGCCTCACCTACCACCTTGTGGGCTCTGACCCCCACGCCCTGGTGCCCGCTTTTGTCGCGCTGAGCAGAGCTCATGGCACGTTTTCAGAAGCTGCCCAGCCCGGGCTTCACTTTCTGTGTGAACGAGGGCTCGGAGGGAGGGAGAGAGGATTCGAGGTGTGGACCCCGAGGTGGGACCACTTATCACCGAGGCTGGGGGCCAGGTAGACCTGGCTGGCGCCCGCCTCTGCCATCCCCTGTCCCTGCCCCTGAGAACAGCTCCTCTGCCCTGGACCTGGGCCCTCCCACAGACCGGACTGATAGTGGGGTCTCTGTGTGCCTCACTGGTCTCCTGACCTCATGGCCGGCCTCTGAATGCGGGAGTTCTGGCCTCATTGGTGTCAGCTTAGGATTCCGCAGGTGTGAAGGGGCCCAGGCATCCTGAGGTCTGAGACTAGGTGGCCTGGGGCGAGTGTAGTGTGGGTGTCAGGGGCCCGCCCTCAGGGACATGATCCTGGGGTGGGAGGGCCACCGAGGTCACCATGCAGCGCCAGGCAGGCAGTGTGCGCCCCCAGTGACCTGGTCCTTCCAGCTCCGGCAGCCGGGCTGGCGGAGGCCCCGGGCAGTGCCATGCTGGGCGGGCTACGCGCCGGGAGCCTGCTGAGCGGCTCTGCCTGAGGTCACTGCCTCAGTGTATTTTGAATATTTTCGGCTGGATGTGCACGGCGGGTCTTGGCCCGTGCACAGCGTGTGCAGTTCATACTTGGTGGGCTGTGTAATGTGCGGAGGCGTTGCCAAGGGCAGCGGAAATGTGGATTTTTTCCAGTATAATCATGCGAATCCTACCACTACCCTCCCTGCACCTTCCTGGGCCTGAGCTGCCTCACCCCCAGCAGGAGCTGCCAGGAGCTGCCGGGTGGGCGGAGCACAAGGGCCGGTGCTTTGTCCCAACAGACCCTTGTCCCCTGCGTTGACCCCTGGATTCTTGAGAGCAGCGAGGTGACCAGGGGTGGGTACCCCTTTGGGCTGTGTCCTCAGTGTTAAGTGGGTGCCCTTCCCTGTGCTGGCCGAGCCTGGGGAAGTGGGGTGGTGGCTGCTCTGGATGGTCCAGGGCAGTCCTTTGGGGGGAGGGGAGAAGAGTGGTGGCTCCATGTCAGGAAGGCGGGGCCGGTGTCAAGTCCTCCTGCAAAGGGCCACGTTCTTGCAAGTGCAGGGAAGAGGAAGGCCGGCCTCATCCAGCCAGGTCTCAGAATGCACGGCCTCCCCAGCTCGGCCTCTCCAGCTTGGCCTCTCACCTGGCTGAGGCCCAGCACTCGGAGTCCAGGGGCTGGGGCTGCCAGAATGAAGTACCACAAACAGGGCTCAAACGACAGATATTTATTGTCTCTCAGGTCTGGAGGCTGGAAGTTCAATATTAGGGTGTCAGCTTCTCCTGCGCCTCTCTCCTGTGCTCGCAGGCAGTGCATTCTCGCTGTCTTCACGTGGCTGTTCCTCCGTGCGTCTCCGTGTCCCGATCCCCTCTTATGAGGACAGCGGTAGCTTCATTTCAATTTAATCACCTCTTTAAAGACCCCCATCTCCAAGCACAGTCACCTTCTGAGGCACTGGGGGTTAGAATCCCAACATATGGATTTGGGTGTCACGATTCAGTGCATGACACCCACAGGTGCTCAGGGCTTAGGATCAATGCAAATGCTCCAGCGGCCGCAGCCAGAGGCGCCTTCTGTAGCGTCCGCGCCGGCCACCCGGCCCACCCCGGCTGGGACGCTGGCTGGCTGGGGGGGCTGCGGTCCATGCAGGGGGACAGCCACATCCGGACGGAGGCTCATTCCGTATTCTGCTCAGTCCCGAGGAGAGGAAACCAGGGCTCTCAGGGAAGCGGGGGGTGGCTCCCCGTTGCTTAGCTAAGGGGCACTCAGTTGCCACGGTGACCTCCGTCTGCACAGTCAAACACACACAACCCAGCCACTTCTCTCGGCTGGAGGGTTCCCCGCCCCCATCAGAGTTCACAGTGAGTGTTGAGTCCCTTGGTGACAAAAACATGGAAACGGTTGCCATGGCAGCCATTCTTTGGAGCCCTCAGACGGGGAGTGCAAAGTTCAGGATGCCCAAGAACAGATGAAATGAAAATATGGGAAAATCTGCCACTTCCCTCACCCCAGAAGGATGCGTTGGATGGTGTTTCATGCTCCCCTGGGCCCAGCCATCCCTGCCCCTCCCATCGCCCTGGGCCCAGGCGGGGAGGGGAGAGGCCCTGGGAATGGAGGTGGCAAAGAGGCCACAGAATCCTTGGGAGAAGCAGGCCAGCTGGGAGGCCGGGATGAACTGTGGGTGGGCCCAGAGCCTGGAGCTGTGGATGGGCAGGCGCAGATGACCCCTAGGCACTGCCTGGGGACACGTCCTCCTGGTTGCTGAAGTCCCGGAGCCTGCTATGACTCAATTTCCTCACTGTAAAAGCAGCTGCCTTTCTCGGGGGACTCATGTCCACTCATGCCAGGGTAATCCTCAGCCTGGTCCAGGGGTGAAGGGTCTAGGGCACGCTAGGTGGGCTCAGCACCGGAACGGCACCCTGTTCTGACCAAGGGGATGGCACTATGGCCCTGGCAGACAGACCTGGCCCAGGGTGCTGGGGTGCAGCCAGTTCATTCAGAATTCCTCTCGTCTTCCTGGACAGAAGAGGATCTGAGTCCATTAATGGAGGCCATGGCAGAGGCCTCTCCATTTACCCACTGGACTGGGGAGAATGTGTCCTCCCACCAGCTGTTCCCCACGTAGGGCCCAAGGGGAAATGTACCAAGCTGGCCCATGCGCATGCATACCCCCTCTTACACAATTTATAGATTAAACTAGAGGCCTGGTGCATGACATTGGTGCACGGGAGTGGGGGGGAAGAGATCCCTCAGCCCGGCTTGTGACCTCTCGCAGTCCAGGAACCTTCAGGGGATGTTCAGCTGCTGGCTTAGTGGGGAGCGGGCCTAAGCTGGCAGTCAGATATCCCGAGGGGTCCTTAGTGCTGCCCCAGAGACAGGAGAGGCTCCCACCACCACCACCGTGAGTCCGGCTTCTGGCTGAACGGTGCTCCCTGTGGGAATGCACTGACCACCAGGGAGGAGCTCCTCTAGTGAGTGTCTGCCCCCTGGTGGCCAGTGCATGTCGTAGGAGCCGGTTGTTAGGCTGTTTGGTCAATTTGCATGTTAGGTTTTTATTATATAGGCTGCTCTGAAACGTCCTGCAGAGGAAAATGAGCTTTTTCCTCTTAAAAAAAAAAAAAAAAAAGTATTTCCTAGTTTGTGGTTTTTTTTTTTAAAAAAACTCTTAATACCCTGCAGAAATAACATTCAGTGACACTCACTAGGGCACTGGTTCTTGGTGCGATCCCTGGGTCAGCAGCTTCAGCGGCTCATGGGGATTTGTGAGAAATGTGTATCCTCCTTCCACCCCAGAAACGCGTGTTTTGACAAGCCCTTTGGTTTGAGAACCCATGTGCTAAGGTAGCTAGCTGCTGCTAACTGTTGGTCCATGGCCTACTGGTGGTCCGTGAGGTCCAAAGGTTGGCGACCACTGTGCTAGAGAATTGGGGGGAAGGGGAATGGCCTGGAGAATGAGGGGGGAAGGAGGGAAGCACAAGAACCCTGCGCTCTGGAAGAGGTGCTGTGGGCACCTTGCGGGGTGGGATCGGGGTGCACCTGAGCACTGAGCTCCCACTGTGGTTTTCTGAGATTGCGTTAAGTGCAAGGTTGTGTGTCTGGACGTGTCATGAGGCTTGGTGCTGATTGGGGCCTTTGGGAATGCCTGAGGTCACCTAAGGAGGCCCTGTGTCCCCTCCTCCTCCTCCTCACCAGCAAGGAGCACCTGCCCTGGGCAGATGGACTCTACCCAGAGTGCTGGGCGTGGGGGGCAGTTCCGTAATTTTTTCTTTCCTTCCTGGACCTAGCCCAGGTTTCAGGAGGTGGGGTTCTAGGTTAGCTCTGCCACCATCCATCCCTCTCTTCCCCTCCAGGGGGAATGCCAGGTGTCCTTTTCCTCTCCATCAAACAGGCTGCCCCACTGTCAGCCCCGCCTCGGGGAGAGTCAGGCACACAGGGCCCACCTGGCCCCAGGAGCCGGGCACACACACACGGGCCGCAGTACCCGCCCCGCGCCCACCGCCTGCCTGTGCTTCCTCCCTGCAGCCGTGCAGATCCACATCCTGAAGGCGGACAGGGCGGGGGACTGGTGGAAGTTCACGGTGAGCATCATCTCCGTGTACAAGCAGGGCGCCAGCCGCATCCGGCGTGGTGACCAGAGCCTGTGGGTCCGCTCGCGGGACATCGCCTGCAAGTGTCCCAAGATCAAGCCCCTCAAGAAGTACCTGCTGCTGGGCAACGCGGAGGACTCTCCGGACCAGAGCGGCATCGTGGCCGACAAGAGCAGCCTGGTCATCCAGTGGCGGGACACGTGGGCGCGGCGGCTGCGCAAGTTCCAGCAGCGCGAGAAGAAGGGCAAGTGCAAGAAGGCCTAGCGGGAGGGAGGGAGGCGGCGGGGCCCGCCAGGGCTTTCCCAGGTGCGGGAGGGGGCGGGAGGGCGGGGCCTCGGCGGGGGCGGGGCCTCGGCGGCTCCTCTCCCGGCGGCCCTGCCCCTCGCCCCACTCTGCGCGCCCGGGTGGAACCGCACGCCGCGGGGAGGGGCGCACGACATGCCAGGCCCTGGAGAAAGGAGGATGAGACTTAGCTACCTCACGGGCTCCTTCCAGAGCAGGGACACGCTTCCCTAGGGCCGGGCGGGGGCGGGGCGGCCTGATCTGGGCTCCGGGGACTGACCCAGAAGCCGCAGGTGCAGGTGCACCTGCGGCCCGTGGACCCTTATGGAGAAGGGGACGTGAGGAGGAGAACTGTGAATTCTCAGGCCCCCAGTTGGGCCAGGGGCTGAGCGAGCCCGGCCTAAACCATTACCCAAACGTAAAAGACTGAAAATCCCCACCTTCTCCCGGACCCTTCTGTGTCACAGGACAGACCCCCTGGTTGGGACAACGTGGGCCCCATTGGAAGGGGCCAGACAGGCATTTGGGGGGCAGCAGGATTCCCCCTGCAGACGGTGGTCCATTGCCACCTGCTGCATTGTCCTCCTGGGTGAGGCTAAGCAGGAACTCTTGCTGGCACGGACCGACCCCTCCTTGTCCCCCCCCCCCCCCCCTTCTGGCCATCCCCCACCCCAGCTGGGGTTCAGCTGCAGCCCAGGATTCTGGCCCAAAGACGCCCCAGAGAAGCTCTAGCCGGGTGGTCGTGCCTCACGGAGCTGCCCAGCGGAGGCGGCCCTGGGCAGGCACCACCTCCCAGAGAGTTTCCTCTGTGGAAACTTGGAAGCAGCCCCTGATGACATTTTCCAGGGGAGGGGACGGCACGGGCTGGGTTTATGGCAGCGACACTGTTTGTGTAATGACATCAGCCCCACCAGGCCCCTCAGCAGCGCCCGCAGCTGGGCAGGGCCCGGATGGGTATGGAATGCAGGCTGCAGAGGCGGTTGGCACGGCTGGGGGACGGGGCTGGCTGGAGTCAGGGCTGGGTCTGTCGGCTTAGCAGGGTGCAGCGTGCCCACACCATGGGCAGGCAAGGCAGGGAATGACCAGGTTCCGGGGAACCACGGAAACCATGACCACTTCCTGCTGCTGCCCTCACTCCTGGCTCCAAGGGCAGCGGCTGCTGGGCTGAGAAAGCCTGCTGCAGGTCCTCCCCCTCCCCCCCAAGGCTGCCTGCACCTGCCTTGCTCTATCCCAGGCAGAGCCTTGCCTAACCTTCCCGGCTGCCCCCTTTGTGGGTCCCCCCATGCCCTCCTCTCCGAAGCTCAGAGACACTGCCTTCAAGCAGGCAGCTAACCTTTGGGTCTGAGTGCCTCCCACGGAGCCTGTTCCCAGCCCGGGGCCCACGGTCTCCCTTCCCCTGAGCGCTCTGCACCCGGCTTCCTTCTCAGTCCACAAACTGGCTTCCTCTCCTTCGAGTCTGCCTGCTCAGAAGGGTCACACCAAGTGTGATGCACGGCCCTGTGGTCCGGCTGCCCTCGGCCGCCTCCTGGCTGCTATGCAGTGAGCACCTGCCCTGTGCCAGGCACTTTACCCACAACCTCCTGTGGCCCTCAGGATGGTCCCGTGAGACAGGGATCCTTGCCCCCCTCTCACCAGCGGGGAGACTGACGCACATGTGCCCGGGGTCACTGGGAGAGCGGCGGCAGAACTGGGGTCACAGTGCAGAGCCAGGTTCTCACCATGGCCCTCACCATGGCTCCGGCGCACCAGCTCCCAGGGCAACCTCCCGGGAGGTTGCCACGGAGACACGTCTGGTTACACCTGGCGAATAGCGTGTGGGGTGGGCACGATGCCATTTTCAGGGGTGGGGCAAGAGTGAGGCACACAAACAATTTGTAGATCAAAGGCTCTGAAGGGGCCTTGGCTGGTCTAAGACGCAGTGGAAAGGACATTTGGCTGCCCGGCCGGTGTGTGCGGAGGGTTCCAGGAGAGATTGGCTGGCAGAGGTGCCTGGGGGGGGGGGAGGGGGGGAGAAGGAGACAGAATGGCCCTGGGAAGGGATATTTGTCTTCCCTGAATCCTTCCCCGGAGCAGAGGGACCGCTCTCCTCGCAGGGAGCCCTCTGACGCCAGCGTGGTTTGCCGAGTGCCATTAGCACCTCACGGGCCTTGGCACTTTGCTGGCCCACAGTCCAGTGCAGGCACTCACTGCTCGGGCTGGTCCTGGCATTTACACCGGCCTGGCTTCCCTGCCAGCTTGTCCAGAAGGGCGTAGCAGCTGCGCCACCTCCCGCCCTGGGTCTGAGTCACCGGGCCCATCCAATGGCCAGCACTGGTGGTCGCCGAGGCCCCCAGCTCTGGAGCCAGCAGCCTGCCAAGCAATAAGACATCTTGCTTTAAATTCAACCAGCCTCCAGCCTTACCCTCCTGCTCTTCCCTGAGGGCAAAAGCCACCCAGACCCCCCCCCCCGCCAGCCGCCTGGCCCCAGCCCCTGTGTTACTGACACAGCCAGAACCTAACCCCCCCCTTCAGCAGTGAGGCCCCTCCCTGAGGAAGCTCCCCCTCCCCCAGGAGATGAACAGGAAGTGAGGTGTGCCCGTGTGTACAGTTAGGAAGGGATGTAAAGTGAACTAGACTTTGAAGAGTGTATTAACCAGAATTGTGATATGTAGGTATTTGAAGAAAAACACACCAGATTAGTCCTTTTTTGTTTTAAACAAAAGATTCCCCACTTGTCCTTTTTCTTACCTGCTGGGTGGTCTGGAGTCCCTGACAGCAGAGTGGCTGCTTCACTGAGCACAAGAATGAAGACGGGGCGGCAGGAGGGGGGCACGGGGCTGCCCGGACTCACCTGCAGCCGAGCCTCTGTCCTGAGCAGGGCGGGCGGCGGCCCCTGCAGGTCCTGGGAAATAGAGGGAGGCTGTGCGCTGCCCCAGGCCAGGCTGCAGTGACCTGGAATCCTGCCTCCACGGTAGCACGCAGGAAATGGGTATCGACTTTCTTGGGTCGGCCCCAGGTTGGAATGAGACTGAAATCGAGAAGATTCTGAGCAATCATGAAGTGATCCCGCCAAGAAAACTGAAAAATGTGGGGATCTCAATGCTCAAAGGAAGCGCCCCCATCACACCCCACGGGAGAGACCGAGTAGACAAACCAGACTCACGGAGGGGGTTCCTGGGCCACGGTGCACAGCCGCAGCCATGCCACACCCCAGGGGCATCACAGTGTGTACCCCGAGGCCTCGCCTCTGCCACCCCAGCCGGCCCACTCCTCGCCATTCGCCATCCTTCCCGCCCCCGCTCCTGGGCGCTTTCCCCTCTCCCGGCTGCGTTCCGGGATTCTGTTCGCTCAGATGGTAAATGTTTAGTTGTGACCATGACATTGGGTCAGTGCTCCTTTCCAATGCATACTAATATATTATGGTTATTATATATGAATATATTTAATGACATGGAAAAAGTTGTGGATTTTTTAAAGTTTTTTTTTTTGTTTGTTTAGAGTTGTAATGGACCCAGATGGAACTTGTAACGTGGGCCCCACATGATAGAACTAAATTCAGATATCAATTAAATAAACTCTTGTACACTGTTCTCTGTCTCCCAGTCTTCACTGGTGGTCTGAGCTGGGGGCGGGGGGCGTGTGGGCGAGGGGGGGGAGATGGCAGGTCTTGGTGCCATTTAAGGAACGTGGATTCTGCGCTAAGAACCCCCAGCAGGACTCCAACTATCAAAAAACAGATAAACAACAAAAAGGAAAAGGCAGCTTTGCTGGGAGGGCCTGGGGCTGAAGGTCTCTCAAACAGGTTGAGCTGTATCTGAGTCCCCCCAAACCACCCTTGGGACGCATCCTTACCCCTCTGTGGGGCTCTGGGTCCGGGCCCCTCAGGGGAGGGCACGCAGGCACGCCCCCCTCTCCCCCCACCCCCACCCCCCGGCCCCAGACTCAGCAGCCGGCAGGGTGCACCTTGGGACGCCCCCTCTGACCCTGAACCTGCAAGCAGAAGCTCTGTCTTTCACAGGACCGTTTCCTGGAAGCCAGGAGCAGACTCCCGGGGGACGATTGCAGGCAGGGTTAGTCAAACTGGAGAATTTTTCAGGCCACTGCGCAAGGCTTTGTGCGAGGCAGGGCCGGGGCTGAGCTCACTGGGTTTCTGAGAAGCTATATTTAAATCTCCAAATGGTCGTGATGTCTCTATTAAACAAACAACCCCGTCATCAGGAACATGTTGTGTTGCTATGCAGCGCAGCCCGTCGTCACCAGGAAGCTGTGATTTCTGCGCCCGGCTGCTTTGTAGACAGACGGGTCTCCGCCATGGGGCCGGGCCCACACCTTGGAGCGTGGATTCCGTTGGCACCTGGGCGGTGTGGAGCCGTGCCCGCGGCGTGGGGCGCTGGATGCAGTGCCTGAGCCTCTCCTCGGGAAGGAACGGGCCAGCCCGGCTCCTCACCGGGTCGGGCTGGGGAGCAGGAACTGGTCTCAGAACCAGGGGTCAGAGCCGGGGCAGCTCCGTACGGGGTTGGCCTTGACTCCCGTTCAGCCCCAGGAGCCAGTCCCTGCTGGAACAGGGTGGCCGGGGAGGGGCAGGTCTCAGGTGGCCGGGCAGGCCAGGAAGAAAACCCGCCTTTTCTGCAGAACCGGGCTCTTCCCCAGGCCGGTTCGGTCCCCGCTGGGCCCCTGGAGACCGGGAGACGGGTCGGAGTTTGTGTTGCTGTTGGAACTCTCTCAGCTTTGGTCATTCTCGCCAAGGGCCCGGTGCTCAACGGCTCTCACCACGTGGCTTTTCCCTGCCCTTCCCAAAGATGGTGTCTGTGAGGAGGACGCCTCCACTGCCTGGCCTGGTTCTGGCAGCGGCAGCCCGTCCCAGGCTGGAGGGAACTGGGCTGGTCAGACGCACTGGAGCATGACGGAGGCAGCCGCTGCCTCGTGGGCCCGCCTCACTCTCTCTGCTCGGAGAGCGCACTGACAGCTGCTCAACGCCGGGCATAGGCGGGGTCGCCGCTAAGTGCTGGCCAAGTGGTCAGAGAAGCCCATGCTGGAGGCTGGAGGTGAGGCACGGGAAGCTCAGTGACCCCATCAGGACTCCAGGCCAGCACAGTCCAGTTCGACGCCCAGAGTCTGCCCGGGGCCAGGCCTCCTAGGGCCTCTGACTTGCAGAGACGCGCTCCTTCCGAAAGCCCGCCCCGCCCTGCCCTTCCCGACATGCTGCCTACTTGTGGGCTTCAGACACACTCCTGGGTTTCAGACTTCGTTGCACAAACACCTCTTCTATGCTCTTTTAAGACTAAATAAAGACATAAGGAGTATGCCAAGAAAAACTGGGAGTGGGTACCAAGCAGCCAGTGAGAAACGGCACGGGACGGATGAACTCATTGCTTTATCTGACGGGAGGCTCACCGGGCAGCAGCTCCTTTCTGCAAAGGGGTGACTTGGGAAGAAATGCAGAGTACAAAGCAACGAGGGGAAAGGTGGATCCTGGCCCCCCTTTTTTAAATAAAGGGGGGGAAACTCCATTCAACCAGGGGGGTTGCTGACAAGATGAAAGACGGTCTTCAGTCTGCCAAGAGCTCTCATGCCACCCGAAGCTGGAGCAGCAGGGGTGAGGGCTCGTGGAAGCCGAGGAAAGAGGCAGCGAGGCTGGCGGGTGGGCTGAGGAGGAGGGAGGGGGCTCTGCTGGCCCAAGAGGTCAGGAGCAGACCAAGGTCAGCTACAGTTAATAACAAAGTTTCAAACGGAGCAAAAGTCCCTGTTGGAACCAGCTATCTGGATTCCTTTATATGGTATCCAGACTAGAAATGCTTATAATTAATAATCAGCTAAGTTAAACAATACTTCCACTGTTATTTCAATCAAGTCTATTTCCATTGAAAAACACCCACTCTGGGTGCCACGTCCTGCCCTTGCCTGTTCTTCCTGCTGAGCGAGGTCTCGCTGCTCACAGGACAGACTCAGAGGAAGGCCACCCGGGCTGCGGGCTGCGCTCTTGGCACCTGTGAGGGGGAGGGCGGGCCTTCCCATTCCCGCCAGGAAGTGCTACGCGATGTCAGCTGTCACTCTAGAGTGGCTCCAGGCAACAGACCCCCAGAGTGATTGGGGTCCGCCCTTCGCTGCAGAGCGGGGTGGCTGTCTCCTGGGGTAGGCGCACCCCAAGAAAGCCAAGAAAGGGGCGGGGCGCCTTCCTGCCCGGCACGTCTACCTCTGGGCGCGCACTGCCCGAGTCTGGATGGCAGGTCCCTGCAGTCCGACCTGGCCAGGCTTCCACCCCGCTATGCCCTCACTCCCTATCCCCGCCCCCCACCCCACCCCGCCTGCAGGTCCAGAGAAGTGAAGTCTCTGGTCCGGGTCTCCGGGCTGCAGGGCGGGCGGGCCTCGAGCCCGCTCCCCCGAGAACAGAAGCTGTTGTGTGCAGACATCAGCTCAGTGTTTGGCTTGAAAAGGCCTTTCCGTGCGGTGGAGCCAGAACGCCGTGGCTCCCGTTCAAAGACGCCCACGAGTTGCCGGGCTCCGTGCTGAGCAAGTCAAGAGGAGGTGAGAAAGTCAAACAGACCTTCAATGCGGCCTCCCGTGAGCCCCAAAGCGGGGGGGCTCCGAGGAGACGCTGTTTACAGATTTGGGGTTTTGCAGGACACTGAAAGCCGTGGCTCTCGGATTCCTGGTCTGCTGTGGGCGATCCATCGGCAACCACTCCGCTCCCCCCACACAAGCAGAACGCACCCCTGGCCCTGCCCAGCATGGCTCCTCTCCCCCAGATCCTGCCCATCCTGAAGCATGCCTGCGCCTGTTCCTCTCCCGGGCTCCGCAATCCAGTTCCCCGACAGACAGCGTGGCTCACGCGCACCTGGCCGCTCCCTGCCCTCTCACCCCGGCAGTCTGTGCACGGGCGTCAGGTGACGCCTTCGTGTGCACAGACGCCCGCAGTATCTAGGAAATCTAGGAAATTCGAACGCCATCCCCAGGCTCCCCCAGCACAAGCCTGCCCTCTGCTCTGCCTCAGGGAAGTCTTGTGCTTTAGAACCTGCCCCATCACCAACGCACATTCTTCCCCCTTTTACCAGAGAGCACCAAGCAGGGTTAGTGGGCCCGGCCTGCTTTCCCTGCAGACAGGAGAGAGGGCACGGAGCTGGCCCTCTACCCTCTAACCTGGAACTCGCCAACAACCCCCAGGGCTGGGGCCGCCTGCAGGCCTGCTCCCCCGCTGCCCTTCTCCCTGGGGCACTCACAGGCTGGGTTGCCAGAGCCAGGTTAGCAGCCAAGTAGGGGCCGGACTCCATACTCACACCTTTCTCTGAACTCTAAATGTACTTCCCAGACCGGTCTCTTCCCTCCCCACTCGCCTCATGCACCGGCCTCATTCTGGCTGCTCATTGCAGAGACGGGAGAGACTGTGCCTCTGGGTCTGAAGGCAGCTCCGCCGAGTCCAGAGAGGCTCAGCAATGGCAGCGCCACTGAGAGCGGTGCGCCCGGCGGGGACGTGGGCAGGGAGCTGGGTGCACACGGACTCCGCGCCTGTCGGCCCTCGCATCACGTCGCTCCCTCCACCCGGGCTGGACAACGCGGCCTTGACCGTTCACTTATTTCCTACGTGGACACACCGTTTCCCAGCAGCCCAGACATCCACGTTACTCACGGCCTATGCGTTCGGGACCATCCCCCAGGGCGCTGGCGCACTTTGGGGTGGGTGGACTCCACTGTAGCCGTGGCAGTGCCCACTTGACCAAAAAGCGAGCAAGGCAGGAGCCGAGAGGGCCACACTGGGCCTGAGACTCCGCCGGCTCCGGGGCCGCCACGCAGTTTGCTTTGACCGAAGCCACGCGCATGGAGAGTTCAGAGCTTTGAGGGGGTTTATTGAGGGCAGCTTCCGAGTATCAAAAGGTGCTGAGCTTGTCTCCATCACGGGCAGGAGTCCAGTTGGTGGTCCCGTTGTTGCCGCTAGCGCTAGCCGGTGGGCCAGACCCCAACCACCACAATAGCCACGAGCAGCAAGAGAATCACCATGATCATTCCTGGAAAACAGAAGCAGAAGAGACTCTTTGAGAGATGCATGTGGGACGAACATCCCACGCCCTGAGCATCTTCAGGGAGGATGGCAGTGCCGTCCACCTGCTCTCCGGAGCCTTTCCTTTGTGCTTCGAGGTGTGCCCAGTGCCAGCACTCCAGGGCACGGCCGCTGGTGAGTTTGCAACCCACCACCTCGAGTTGTGCAGCAACGAGCAGGCGCTCCTGACAGCAGGACTGGGGGGGGATTCAGGGAGGGCTCCCACCCCGCACATGTACACGTCAGCTTCAGGTCTAGCTTCTGTGTGCGGCTGGACCCTGTTTCCTGTTTGCATTGATGAGAGACCAAGAAAGGAAAGGGCTTTTGAGTTTACAAAGAAATTCATTCTAGAATCCGTTATCTCCACCATCCACACGGCTTTGCCGTTTCTTCTTGAACCCAAGACACTCATGTCGTCCATCTGTGAAAATACGCAATAGAGGGCTTCACCTTCACATACACATTTTTGTTAGTATTTTTTTTCTGTTTTATTGCCTAACATTTTTCAGCTGGGAGACAAAGGCCAGCATCAGCCCTCGGGCCAGTCTGCTCCCTGTCTGTGCCCAGCTCCACCCACACGAACACACCTGCCAACCCCAGCGCCTGGGACAGGATTGCCCATTCCTGCAGCGCTGATGAGAAGGCCCTCGAGGACTCGGCCACGTCACTCACTGACTTCCACGCTTCCCGGTGTGTAATGAATGCTTACCACACTAGGCACATGAGGCCAGCATGTGCCAGGGGTGGGCATGGTTACCCACACAGTCACACTCAATCCTTTGCCTACCAAAGGGTCCCTGAGCACTGAGGCCCCAAGAAGGGAAGTGAGGAGCAGACGGAATAAAGCACCTGAACATGCTCTGTGAAGGAACAGGGGAGTGGAGCCCACAGGACCATGTGGTCGTGGCCACAGAGGCTGATCACCTCAGGCAGAGGAGCTGTTTTGGGAGAGGTCGGGGTCCTGAGAGGTCAACAAGTTATTCTCTCATAGGAAGCCATTCGCTAGATAACCACTGGTCACATCTGGCTACTTAAATTAATTAACGTTAAAAATTCAGTGCTTCAGTTGCACTAACTGTATTTCAAGTGCTTTAGAGCCACATGTGGCCAATGGCTACCATGTTGCCAGAGAAAGACAGACCATCTTCATGGACAGTTCTTTCTGACAGAGCTGAGTGTGCGGGGCTGTGGTTATCTTACTGCTGCACCAGCTTCCGCGACAGTGCCTGGGGTGGGACTCAATGCATAGCTGTTGAATGAACGAACGAAGGGCTGCTCAATGCCTTTTCAACACTCACTCTACACTTGGATAGCTTCCCACGCTGGGAATTCTGTCTTTCCCTCTTCTTGCGTCAGTTTTGTTAAGTTATATTTTTCTGGGAAATTGCCATTTTTTTACTGAGTATTTAAAAATATTGGAATAAAACTATTCATTCTATTCTTATATATCATTTAAATACTATGCTAGATCTATAGGCCTGGATGGGTAGCTCAGTTGGTTGGAACATCGTCCCGATACGCCAGGGTTGTGGATTTGATCCCCTGGTCAGGGTACATACAAAACTGAATGAAATGAGTGCATAGGTAAGTAGAACAACAAAGTGATGTCTCTCTCTCTAAAATCAACCAACCAATAAAAATGTAAACGCTATGCTCTATGTCCTTCTGTTTATTTCTAACCACTTATTTGTGCACTCTTTTCTCTTGACTAGCCTTGCCACAAAGTGTGCCTGTTTATTAATCTTTTCCAAGAAAAATTTTGACTTTGACAATCATCTCTCATTTATTTTCTGTTTTATTAATTTCTGCATTTATTTTCCTTAATCCTACTATTCTGGATTTACTTTGTTGTCCTTCTCTAACTTCTTGAGTTGAAAGTTAACTTATTCATTTTCAATCTTCTAAATATTACCTTTCTAAACCTATAATTTGATATGAAATAAATTTGACATGTTAGTTTCCAAATTATAAGTATTTTTAACAATTTCACCCTGACCAGATAGCTCAGTTGGTTAGAGTGTTGTCCCAATAGGCCAAGGTTGCAGGTTCGATCCCCAGTCAGGGCACATACAAGAATCAACCAATAAATGCAAACATAGATAAGTGGAACAACAAATCGATATTTCTCTCCCTTTCTCTCTCTAAAACCAATCGATAAAAATTTCAACAATTACTTTTTTGGCCCAATAATTATTTAGAAGTGTGTTGGAACATTTCCAATTAATTGAAACATACTTACCAAAATGTATATTTTTAAAACTGCGATAATAATACACGTTCTATATTTTCATGTGAAAACATGTGATTTCTATTGGTGACAAAGTCTTAAGTTCTAACACCACTGTTGTCTGTTAACATTCTTCTTAATTGAAGAAAATGCTGGCTCTTAATCAGAGGTCAGTGAAAATAGGAACGCACTTGGCTTTCTCCTCCCCGTTCAGGCTCCTGAATTCCAGGCACAGATCGCAGGCTTACAGTGTGAATTTACAACCCACCGTGTCAGCACCGCACGCCCACAGTTCTGATTGCCGAGGAGGGACTTAGAAACCCTGTGGCGAGGGGCGCATGTTTTCGAATACACCCCCTTTCTTTGACGACCCAGTCTATGAGAGGATTCCCACTAGGAAGTTGAGATTTCCCCCGTCTTTCCGTGGACATAATAAACCTTTCTGCATCAGGAGCCAGCAAACTATGGCCCAGGGCCCAAATCTGGCTTGTGGGCTATTTTTGTACAACTCATAAGCTAAGAATGGTTTATATATATTGAAAAGGTTGTCAAAAAAGAAGCCCATTTCCAGGGTCAAGCATCAGTTTAGGAACCAGGAGGTCACGGTTCGATTCCCGGTCAGGTCACCTGCCCGGGTTGTGGGCTCGATCCCCAGTGTAAATGCAGGAGACAGCCAGCTGATCAAGGATTCTCTCTCATCATGGATGTTTCTATCTCCCTCTCCCTCTCCCTTCTTCTCTGAAATCAATAAAATAATATTTTTTTAAAAAAGAAAGAAAAAGAGGATGCCGCATGGTCCGTGGTCTGCGAAGCCTCACTCACTGTCTGGCCTTCACAGAACGGGGCCGCGCCTGCTCTGTGTCCCTGTGGCTGACGATGACCCAGCCGCGCATCAGCCGCTTGTCCAGGTTCCGGTTTCCAGTTCTCTCTCCATTCGTTTCATCCAAGGATTTCCCTTTTTCCTTGTAAATTCAGCTACGCCTTAACATTTTAGGGGGTGTTGTAATATTTTTACCTAGCACTTCAAGATGCTTACAGTGAGGGGTGTGTGTGTGGAGGTTATCTCCATCTATCTTCTTGCCAGAACCGGAAGAACAAATTTTCTCATTCGTTTCTGCCTCCAGAAACATCTTTAGGTTGATCATGAGCTCCACCTGGGCAGGAACCCCCCTACTTCTGGACTGGGGTGAAAGGCTTACATTGCACAATTTAAAAAAGAAAAAGAAAAAGATGGAATTGGGGGAAACAGGCAGTGAAGTGAGGTGGAGCATTGGGGCAAGGGCTGGCCCCCAGAGCCAGGGCTGACCCTGAGACAGGGCGGGCGGGGGGGGGGGGGGAGGGGGGGACGACGACGACTTTTGAGGAAAGCAGAGTTCACGAGCGGCGCTTCAGGAAGGACAGTCACGTATCAGGCGGGTCAGAGGCGGAGAACAGGAGGCTGAGGGCGCCTGTGCAGAGGACCCTGGACTGAGGCTGGGATGGCTCAAAGGAGAGGCAGAACAAGGGATGAGAACAAAGACCTGGAGAACAGCGACTGATTGAGAAATGGAATCCTCACATCCGGTTTCAGCTTAAACACACAGACTGTCAGTCCCAGGGAAGAGCCTGCACGTCTCCTGCTTGGGCCACTGCAGGGACTGACTTGCCGCTCCTGCCACCCGGTCCACCCCCCCAATCCAGCTGCAATGGGAATCGGATCAGGCGACTTCCTGGCTTAACACTCTCCGATGGCGCCCTAGCCAGGTTGACTTAGAGGACAGAGCACTGGCCGGTGGAATGAAGGGTCCTGGGTTTGATTCCCGTCCAGGGCATGTACCTGGGTTTCAGGTTTGAACAGGGTGTGTGTGGGAGGCAACCAATCCGCATGCCTCTTTCTCACTGATGTTTCACTCTGTCTCTCCACACTCTCAAAAAATCAATGAAAAAATATCCCCAGGTGAGGATTCACAACAACAACAAATTCTGATAGCTTCAACTCAAGTCCAAACCCTCCCCAGCGGTTAGAAGGCCCTTGTCACTCCTGAGGCCACCCTATACCTGTGTTCTAGCCACCCTGGCTGTGGTCCCCAGCGGGCCAAGCTCCTGCTCGCCTCCCGGCCTGTCCTCCTGCCATTCCTTCCGCCCAGACATGGCTGCACACTCTTGGTCCAATTAATCCCTCCTCATCCCCCAAATCTCACGACTGTCACTTCCTCGTGGAGCTCCGTCCAGACCTCCAGTGGACCTCGCTCTTGCTGTCCCTCTCTCTGTGTGTGTCGTGGCCCTTCCTACATCCTAGCTTAGGTCCTCAGTGACTAGCTCCTCCGCTGGCCCATGAGTATCCAGCACTGTGCCTGTCTAATCCACCACCCGACCCCCAGTGCTAGGGACAGAGCCTGGCTCCCAAAAGGGGACGACAGCACATTCTTTTTTATGTAGTAAACTGGAGGCCTGGCGCACAAATTCGTGCATGGGTGGGGCCCCTTGGCCTGTCAGGTGATCAGGGCCGATTGGGGCCATCTTGTCCAGTCCCAATCGGAGCTGATGGGGGCCGGCTGGCCGGGGAAAGACCACAGAGGTCTGCTGGCCAGAGAGGAGCCATGAGAGGGCTCCAAGGGCGTGTCTGGCCCTCTTGTCCAGTCCTAATTGGCTGGACCCCAGCAGCCAGCTAACCTACTGGTTGGAGCATTTGCCCCCTGGTGGTCAGTGTGCATCATAGTGACTGGTTGAGCGGTCGACTGATTCAGTTGGACACTTAGCAT